GCTCGCCAGAAAATCGTTCGATCAACTTATTATTAATCTCATCAACACTTTCATTTTTAGTTGACAGTATCGCCCTCGAAATGATAAATTTTGAGTCGGCGCCGTTGGATTCCAAAGAAGGAAATATTGCATCAATCAGAGCGTCCACTGATTTAGTTTTATCAGTGTACCGAATGGACATGTTATCAGGTATACGAATATAGGACTCGTCCAATGTTTCCTCCTTTCCATCACCGACTCGTAATAAAAAATCAGAAAACCATGGGTCATTTACCGCTCTCATGTTGATACTTAATCGAAGCCTTTTAACTGAAGCCCATAGAGGTGACATTCGTAAGCTAGAGTCGACAATTTGTGCTCGAGTGCCACGTCTCACGACCGGTAACACTTGTCTAAAGTCACCTCCCATAACCATTATCTTTCCACCGAAAGGGAGCTTCTCATCTGTGATGTCTTGCATTGTGCGATCAACTGCTTCTACTGCCTGCCTCTTAGCCATTGCTGCTTCATCCCATATGATTACCTTTGCCTCGCGAAGTATCTGAGCCTTCCCACTTTGTTTAGTGATCTTGCACATCGAGTTATTATCAAGATTGAGCGGAATTCCAAATCGTGAATGAGCTGTTCTCCCTCCTGGCATGTTGTTAGCCGCAACACCTGACGTGGCAGTTGCAAGTGCAATAAGACCACGAGCACGAATATTAGCCAACAAAGCTTTGTACAAAAATGTCTTTCCAGTTCCACCGGGACCATCTATGAAGAAGACACCCGGAATATTTTGATCCACATGCCTCATTATCTCATCATATGCAAACTTCTGGTCTGGATTGAGAGAGTCTCGCGCATGTAAGTCTTCATATTCCACATTTATAGAGTATTCTTCTTGCACCTCACGATAGCCTCTTGATTGTAAATCGATGTGTGCACTGACCTTTGGAAGGTCGTAATCACTAAGCTTTTTACTCATAGATTCTAGGAAGACTCTAATGTCGATGAGGACCATATTTTGCACTCGCTCGGCGCATCCATATTGTTTCCTGTAATCTTCAGAAAGAGAATCATAGTGGTCGTCCCATAACTTGCGAACATTTCCTGGTTCACAAAAAATCAGCATCGTCGCAAATAACCTTCTAAGTGCGCTGGGAAATTGAAATAAGGAAGCCTCTTCAAGACACTGTGATAAATTATCATCCGTCTCTATTAAACCTCTTTCAAGAGCTGCTTTTCGAAATGTAGGGTGTAATACACCATTTGCTGTGTATAAATCTTCAAAGCAGGTAGGCCCGGTGATATGACATAAAAGCAGGCGTAGGTAGTATCTCTCTCCTTCAGCTGGATTAGCATAAACAAGTCGACCAACCATTGATTTATGTTCCCGGATCCTCCAACAATGGTTGCTCCGATTCCATGTAAAATGTTTGGGAAAATCCTTATACAAATATTCTCTCGCTTTGGAATCTTCTTTATTCTTCTTGAAAAATGCCGTCAACATTGAATCTTTTTCTTTCTCTCTATCAACAATGTCTTCCATTCTGTCAACGTCTTTGAACCTAACCAACTGTTGATTCGGGAGATGTATTTGCAACGCCATCACACAAGGGTGGATTTTTGATAGAGGAAAGCTAAAAACTCGCCATAATGCCTCGGGAGGGGACACATAACGTGCGTCTTGAAACTTTTTTATCTCATTAATAACAACATTTTCTTGGTCTTTATCAATATGGATAACTTGTTTGTCATGGCCCTTATAAACATATTTGAAGAGGTACTTCACAGACTTTATACTCGAACAAACCTCAACGTTGATATGACAATTAAACATCATTAACAACTTCGGGTTGTATGGAGCCACCCATCTGTTATCCAATGATGTATTTCTTACAGTAACCTCAATTCCATTATTTCTCCTTCTATATAATGGATATGAGTCCTCTCCTTGTGATGTCTTTTCATTGAATTGCCTAGGATATCTGAAACGACATATTTTTGGCACACCCTGCATACACGGACTTTTTTCTCGTAAGCTACCACAGGGACCGTGCATCATGTGACTTTTGACAAGATCATGCATTTCAGGAAACCTTATTGGGTCGGGAATTTCGCACACACAAGTTTGTCATAATCGTCTGGATTATTCATCTTATATCCAGGGGTCATTATTAAGAGGAAATGTGCATGTGGCAATCCACGCTTTTGAAACTCTATCACATACACATATGACCCCACCACACCGATTATATGTCTCTGCAATAATTGTACCTTGAGATCCTCTAACTTAGCATGAAAAACTCTTGCAACAAGGTCCGGTCGATCTTGAGCTGACTGTCCAGGCAATAACTCATCATCGATTTCTTTCCATTTTGGGTTGCAAGTCATTGTAAGAAATATATCAGGCCTCCCATCATCTTGAACTAAAGCCATGGCATCCAGAAATCTTCGGCGCATGTCACGTGGACCTCCAATGAAACTTGCAGGTAACACAACTCTCTGTCCAACCCTACTTGGTTGAGCCTCACCGGCATTAAAACAATCAACAATGCCCTGGTATAAATCAGCTCTAATTTTGGTTTGGTTCTTTTCAACAAAAACCAAACGTGTAGTCTCAATCTTTATATAGGTATCTACTGCAAACTGCTGGAACAATCTCCCTCCCATCAAAATCACATTATCATTCGACCGTATCTGGAACTTGTAACAATAGTACTCCCGCATACTTACAGTGTTTCTGCCTTTTTTTGAAGTAGATCCTGTGATATCATAATTTATGTGAAAAATATAAATTTAATATCCAAATATTTAAGGCAATACGTGTTACATGTTTTAAATATGTAAAAGAATGTTAAAGGCGTACCTTCTGAACCTTCATCATTGTCTTCATTGTCACTAATAATTTCATCCATGGCCACCCCATATCTTGGTATTTTAGGATGCCATCCAGACTCACCATTAGGAAAGAATAAAGGATACGACAAAGGATCATAACAACCAAAGTGAGGTTGAATTTCAGTACTATAGTTAGACCTCCCGTAGACAATAATACTTCTTTTATATGCAGTGATGTTGTCATTTCCTTCAACCCAAATACCAGCAACCTATGCAAAGGTGTAGTTCAATATGGTGATTAATATGATATGTATAACAATAAATATGAGACATTTAATTTTAAAATGAATAAAGTTAAATGTTACTATTCACACCTCAGATGTGGTAGGCTTATTGTACACCCTTTGGTCAAGCTCCACCGATGCATTCAAAGTCACTCTATAATTATCAAGCGGTCCTAGATCAGAAAGTTGTTTAAATGTTCTAACGTACGGATTCGAAGCTAGAATACGTGTTAGTTTTTGGATGATTCTTCTATCAACATTCTTCCAGGAGGATCTTTGTGATATTTCAGCTTCACCGTCATAAAAATACAACTGTAAATACCTCGATTTACCATCCCTTGAAATTAGCTGATCGATATTATGATAGAGTGTTCCGTGCGCACAAAAAGTGTAAACTCCAGAATTCATATTGGCCAATTCTTTATCCACATTTACACCTAGTGATGCGAAAGAAAAGTTTGAGTTATACGCCCTTATATTGTACCTGAAGCTTTCTTCTAGCTGCTCTTGCCTTGTGAAGAGTTGGTGCAACTCTGTGGGAATAGGGGAGTGTGCCAGTTTTGTCTTCCCACTCATGCAACAAAAGGTAGGGAATTCATATTGTAGTCGCTTTGCTCCACAATAAACACAAGGGTTTTGAGCCTTTAATATACGATGTTCCATACGGATATTTTCATAAACAAAATCATACGGATCGTCCTGAAAGGCGTATACTCTTCTTTTTGTCATCATAGTTCGTTCCTTTCTTCGTTGATAATATTCTTTATTATAAGTACTCGTCCTCTGAGCAGCACTTATAACACTCACAGAGGAATCTTCGTTGATATTTGTTTCGTTTGTCTCCATTATAGTGCAACTTGTGAGTGTTGTAGGTTGACTACATCCTTCACCGTTAGCTATTCTTCTCTTTTTGTTTTTCTCCTTTTTTCGTGCATAATAGTTTCTATTGTATCTTTTTCGATTTTCTACAAACATATTATTTGGATAAATAGTTATATATTATAAATGCAAATATATACTCATATAAACGACATACCTTTTTCTATATCTATCGGGTTTTGGGAATCATCACAGTTTTCGTTTCCCTTATCTACAGTCCCCATTGAACACTATAATGGAAATGTTAAGAATAAGCACATATTATATCATCAAGAATGTAACATTTTGTAATGTAGACCATGTGATTTAGTAGTCATGTATGTGTGTGTTTCAAAAAGCAACACAACCCTTAATAAATAAACAAATATACTAAAAACTTGTAATCCAAAAACACAATAGAAGAAAGTTATACATAATTAAAAGAAAATTTCCATAGATATCCAAAAATTATTATTTATGAATTCATAAGTCAACACAAGAAAAATAAACCATACATGAAAAAATTCACCATAATATGTCTAACATTAATGTAGATCAACAATAAAAGCAACGCACTCGTAAAAGTTGTCAAAACTTCAAAAAAAAAACACCACCAAATGTCTCACACGGAATTAAAAATTCTTCTAGGCATATTTATGATGTTAAATGCTTCCGGCATCCGCGGTTGGAACTCTACGTTGCTTAGTTTGGTTGATATCAATAACAATTTATATTAGTACAAACTTTTCATATATCAGATCTAAACATTAGCAACTGTACACATGCTCATTAATTCAACAAGAGATTCTCACGTTAAACTAATTTTTTGTTGAAAAACTAATCAAATTTGATTTAAACATTAATTTATTTTTTGTTTTTTAAATACCAACACAACCCTTAATAAATAACCAAATATACTAAAAACTTGTAATTCAAAAACACAATAGGAGAAACTAATATATAGTTAAAAGAATTATCCATTAATATCCAAAAATTATTATTTATCAAGTCATAAAGCAACATAAGAAAAATAAACCGTACATGAAAAAATTCACCACAATATGTCTAACATTAATGTAGATCAACTCTAAAAGAAAACACACTCGTAAAAATTCTCAAAACTTCAAAAAAAAAAAAACACCACTAAATGTGTCACACGGAATCAAAAATTCTTCTAGGCATATTCATGATGTTAAATGCTTCCGGCATCCTCGACTGGAACTCTACGTCGGTTAATTCGGTTGGTATCAAAATGTTCACTGAAAATAATATAAAAACTATTAAAACAGATTGATTTAGTTATTTTAATATCACTACAAGTATATAATTTTCTAAAAAAAACTTACTTGTATCCAAATGAACCAATTTTACCCGAGAAACAAATATTATATAGTTTCTCTTTATTGCATAGCAAGTCCTCACAATCTGATGGCGTGTTTGTGTAGTTACATATAGTTTCAACTTTATTATACTCTCCCTATTTATAATCAAATATTTCCAAAGTCATCTAAATTTGTTTTAGTGTAATAATAATAAATAATAATAATAATAATAATAATAATAATAATCACTTACGGGCCGTCTTGGAGATATAAAGTGAACGAAGTTAACGGCATTAAACCAAAGTAACGGGAATATTTTCGCTTGCCTTTGACGATTTTTCCAACAATACTAAAAACAACGATTATTAAAAGGATAAGTTATTATTTTAAAAAATTTAGGATGTTAAAAATATATATAAGTTATTAAATTTACCGATCATCATTTTTCTCTCTGTCCGATCCTCTATTAAATTTTTAATCGAGGGAACCAATGGAAAAACCGGAAACCATGATATGATAGAATCGGCCAAACGATTAAACCGCGTGTTATTGCTGATCCTAATCATCAAATCACCACGTAATAAACTGTATTTTTGATACCTCGGATACTCAGCATAGGTTGGTTCGATTTGGAAATGGTTTAAAGAGAACACACCACCCAATAGATTCCCTCCATAAATAAAACGCATCATTTGTTGTGGAACAACTGCTACCAATTTTTCTCTCTAATAGAAAATGTAATATTTTTATAAACAAAATACTTATGATAAATTATGAAAATGAATATAAGATATAAATAGTTTTTTAAACATACATTTTGATCAATGAGGATAATGAAGAGTTTGTTTGCTTTTACGTCTCTCCAAATGAAATTCACACGAACGGGTGTCAAAATATACCACAAATGGAAGTTCAGTAGCAATGAAAATGCATCAACATAAATGTGACCGTTCATGATTCTACAAAACAAAAGTCAGATATGATTGATTAAAATTGTCAAAATTGAATTTAAATCTTACTTTTTGTTGAAATGGTTAAAATTGTTTAACAATATAATGACTCTTCTACAAACTGACTAAACGATTACAATTGACAATTGAGATTCCATTTTAACTGACGGTCGTGGATAGGATTTGACAATTTGTTACAAATGGATAAGTATTAATTCTAAAAATAATTTATTTCCATCTAAAATTACCATCTAACCCTTTAACTGAAAATATTGAACCTAATGTAATCAAAGGTAATGAAACTTTGGGTTTTATACTTAAACTTTGAACCAACGATTTTAAACGATGAAACATCAATATCACCATATTTAATGTGACATTATTCATAACACCATTTCTACGTAAAAAAAATTATGTTGATGTAGAAATGATTTACATCATTATTTATATAAAAAATTATATCGATTTAAATGCCAAATGTATAATAACATAGGTATTGTAAATTTGAAATATCCAAGCAATAAGACTTTTTATTACATTAGTTATCAGAAGTCAAGTTGATGACAAACTTTATCAATTTATATCTTATTTGACCATTTTCATGAAAAAGTTTATCAAAGCAGCACTTATTTGACCATTTTCATGACAAAGTTTAGGGAAAGGAATATTCAAAAGTAGAAAACCCTAAGTTGCCTATATCCCCAATGCCTCAAAAATTACTAAACGGACATCATTTCTGGATTATTATGGTTTTTTTCATATTTCCAATCTATGTGACCACACTTTGCAGCATTCGGAACCGGATTTTTTTTTCACATCCTATATTTTTGTTGAACCAAGGGCAAATCGGTAAATTCATAAACTGTGGATATATCATATCATATATGTAATATTTGTGATATATGTGATATTTATACGTGTATAGACCATAGTTATATGAGTAAACAAAAAAGGGTATATTCTCTTTAAGTATATACTAAAATTAATTGGCAAAAATAAAAATGCACATACAAAAAAAATGATGAAGTCTCTACTATTACAATCAGACACATTCACTCAAACTCAAAAAAACTGTTTTTTTGTGTATGTTAAGATATTGGTTTGATGGTCACAACATTTTGCTAAACATTAATTTCTTAGTTTTTCTCATGTAAAGAAAACCATGTTCTCTTTCAAGAAGAAAAAAAGAAAACTTTGTTAAAGTCCCTGCCATTTAAGACCGCAAACACAGTCACTCAAATAGACATACACACAAGGTCAAAACATATACATATACAACCATACATATATACAATGTAACAAACACGTACATACACACCAAATCTACATATTATATAAGTGTATTACATGACACAGATGAAGTTTATCACTTCAAATAGAAGAGATAAAATATTATAGACATACTTGAAGTTATAACAGATAGAAAGAAGTAAAGAGAACCTGAATTCGTGTGTCACGGAATGCAATGCAATGATGCAGTCTTCCCGATTCCAAATGAATGATTCAATCGTCTCAAACACTAACTGTCGAATTGTGCTCTGAGAGTTAGAAATGAAGAACATATATTAAATTTATAGTTGGAATAAGGTATTATAAAATAGAAAATGATGTATTTTTGGATATTAATAATCATTCCAAAATAATCAAATTAAATTCTTACCATGAATACTATCGTTGACAAATATAATTAAAAATTTAAAAATGAATATAATAACTGTCAAAATCCATACCAAAAATATTTAAAATCATACAAAACTTAACAAATATACTCAAAATTTTAAAAATTAATATAATAAGTAGAAATCTTTACCAAAAATATTTCAAATCATATGAAACTTAATCATATTATTATCATATTTAAATATATCAGTGAAAACTTGTTATTAGTTTAGTTGTGAATATAAATCTGTAAAAAGCTCAAAATGAGATGAGACCATGGGTATAACCGGAATGTATATGTCAAAACAAATATTTAAAAAAAAAATTAAGTTTGAATTCAAAAAGAGGGATTTATATACCAAGTAGGCTCAATGGATTGACCATCTTCACTCAAGTAATTAATTGAGAAGTTCAGTTGCATTGTTAAAAAAATCACCTGTGATGGGTGTCCACAAAGTTTTGGGCCATGCCAATGATGGTACCCAAAAGACTTGTTTCACTATGATGATATGCAGAGTGCCCACAAGACCAACCTGCAACCAAACAAAGACAATATCAATGGATAAAAATGAGTGGCGACAACACAATACCCAATCTGCATATCTGAACATAAATATCAGAAAATTAGTTGTGTTTTTCTCACATATTCACTTATATTTGATACATTTTTAAACATAACACATGTCAATGGGACAAAAGTTGCAATTTTTATCTATGTTTCTAAAAATCATTTATATCGAAAACGATTACATAAAAATCATCTCAAAATCGACATTTTTTTTTATCATTTTGAATACAAATTCACTACCATAAAAACACATCAATCCAAAAACTTCAAGTTCTCTTTTCTATACCTTTTTTCCTTTTTAAACCTGTAAATAAAAAAAAAGTTGTTATCTACTTCGTTTTTTCTCCTTCTTGAACCTGAGAGTGAAATACATAAAATATTACATATTCCTATTAAGCGTATTACAATCAAACCATATAAAGTAGATTGATTTACCTAACTAATGAGGTGATCATAATCAATTTAACAGGCAATAGGACAAAACCGATCAAAAAAGTAGAATAAGTAGTTTTAAAAAAAGGACCACTCAATC